TTACATAGAACATTGCACATGGATTTTTAGTATATCATTTAGTCTGTTGTCTTCTAAGTCGATTGTGTTCTATCATGGTGACTGAAAACGTACTAAGGCTATATACTCTCAAAACTCTTGTATTCTTTGGAGTTTCAAAAATAGACTTTGAGTACTATAAAATATCTTAATTTTTTTCCTTTTGTCTTTATTATATTATAGTACAGTTAATGCTGGTCTGTACAATTAAACATTTGGTAATTATTCATAAATAAATGCAAGTACAATAATCTGGAATGGTAGAAGTTGTTGCCACTGGACAAAATTTTAAGTAGGAGGATCTTAGTTCACTTGATTGCACTACCACTTACTTGCTCTGTTGTCCTGCCCACAAGACTGCACTTCTTCATCTACAAGGTAGAAGTGATAACTGACCATCTATGTAACATGGTTAATGTGAGGTTCAAATGAGTTAGGACAAAATGCAAGGTGTTTAATAAGCTATAAAGCACTCTATAAATATGTAAAGTACTTTTACCCATAATCACTTCTTTTGTTTATTTCTTTTATGAAATTGACTAAAGGACAATCCTTGCCCTTACACTTACGATTTTATACTTTTTTTCCAGTGGTAGGGATGAAACCCAGGTCCCCATATGTGATAGGCAAGGGCTTTACCAATGAACTACATTTCTGGACCCCTGGTCAGACCAGCATTAACTGTAATTATAGCTCAGATGCAAAGATGTACCACAATATTTTGCATTCTCTGTGATGATATATTGGAACTGTATCTGTCAGGATCCAGCGAGGCACAGAACTGTGATTTATTTATTTATTGGTCTGCCTGTCCATCCATCCATCCATTTATGTATGTATGTATGTATGTATGTATGTAGAGACAGGGTCTCTCTATGTAGTTCAGGGTGACCTTGAACTCATTATGTAGCCTAAGCCTTGATCTCATGGTGATCCTCCTGCCTCAGCCTCCCAACTGCTGGGATTATAGGCATGTAGCACTATGCCCAGGTTTTTTTCCTCTAAATGTGCTATATTTAGAATGCTGTATACTCATAGTGCATGCATATTCTGTTTTTTTAAGTGAACCATAAATCATTATGAAGTGCCACTTAAATGTGGAAAAATAAATGTTTCAGATATATAAGAAGCTCATTGGAGAAGAGAAAGCCTTATTGATGAATCTATTTTGGAAGGTGCCTTCTTTATTTTCCCTTCACTGAGATAAAAATCCTGACACCCACAGCTTAAAGGAGGAGAAGTTTATTTGGATTCATGGCTTCAATCTGTGATTGGCTAGCTCCAAGGCAGAAATGGCATGGTGAGGGAAAGCTGTTCAACCCATGGCAGCCAGAAAGCCAACAGAGAGAAGGAAGGAGCCCGGAACAAGAATATACTCTTCCAGGTTATGCCTTCAGTGTCCCATCTCCAACCGGGCCCCACCTCCTAACAGCACATTCATCTTTTGAACTCATCAATGGATAAAATCCATGGAAGAGTATGGCACCCCCATGATCCAGTCACCTTCCAAACACATGAGACTTTCAGGATACATTTTGATCTAAGCCATTATAGAACCAGTCTCTCCCTCCCCCTCCCTGTTCTCCTCCCCCTTCTTTCTCCCCTTCACTCCCTTCTTCTCTCCCTCCCTCTCCCTCCCTCTCCCTCCCTCTCCCTCTCTTCCCCTCTCTCTCTGACCACCATACCTTGATTATATTTAGCTCTTCAAGTTGACTGATACCACTAAGGAGTAGGTGAAAAATACTAACATGGCTTGTGAAAGAGTAGTCTTGAGAATTCCTCCTTAGATAGAAACTAGTCCTTTGGACCAAAAGCTGGAAATAATCTATTTGAGATTGCTTTGAATCTGGGTCCTTATTTTTGCCATTTTGTTGAAAAGTGCTTTTCCATTGGCTGTGATAGGAATCATTTCTTTTCCTCCATCACTGGTACAGAATGTTTGAGTTACTGCAAGATAGATGCATAGGAACTAAAAATCTTTAATTTTTCTATTACTGAAAAGGATGACTGATTGATTATAGAATACAAATAATATAATTCTTTCAAAAGCATTAGATTGTTCTTTGAAATAGCTAATGGTTGATACACCCTATATGCAACTGAAAAGGCTAATCAGTCTAAAAGATACCTAGAGGTCCTTTTTAGATAGGAAAGGCAAGGAGATGGACAGGAAGTGGTTCCTATTTCTTTGCTATCCTGTCTTTGGGTCCCTTTACTGTCATCTTTCTCTCAAAGTGTAGAGCTTGTTAAGCAGTTTTAAGGCAGTTTTGAGGGAGTTTTAAGAAAGGATAATTTTTTATATAATCTGTGGGCTAGTAGTATCCTGCCAAGTCTAAGGCATAGGCAATGTTAGTTAAGGAAGAAGAAAAATAGATTGTAGGGAGAGGGGAGAAAGAGATACGTTTGGAAGAATACTATCAATAGCAATTTCAGATAGTATGTCTCAGTTTTCTGACATTTGTGCCTAATATGAATGCAATTCACTTTGAAGCCAGTTTATTAATATGGTTCTAGGTCTAATTATTTTTTTAAAAACGTATTTTCTTTTCCTCAATGCTGTTGAAATTTCAGAGATTCAAGAAGGAAAAATCCCGTTCTCCTAAAAGGTTCCGTTTTCCTAAAAAAAAAAAAATCAAACTATTTGATATTCTTCTAGCCAAGTCTGTTTTTACCTTCTGTAATTATTTTTACATGTCTAGAATTAGAATATGTTTACATTTTTCCCTTTTGGTTTTGTGAAATGATTTTTTTTTTTTTTTGTTTTGGTACCAGGGATTGAACTCGGGTCTTTGCACTTGGGTAGCAGGCGGCGAAACCACTGAGCTAAATCCCCGGCCCCTGTGAAATGATTTTTAATGTGTCCTTGGAAAGCTGGCTGAACGACAGATATTGGATGGTTCCACAGTGCATTAAATTACCACTCCAGTCTAAAAACGAATTTTATAATGCATGTCGCTTGTTTCTTAGTATATAGCCAATATTTGTATATACTATTCAGTGAATAATCTTTAAAATTACACAGAAGCTGAAATGATTGGATACTTCTGAGAAAATTCTGCTCTTTGGGAATTGTCCTGATTTGTGTCTTAGATTTATCAGCTGCTCTTTTCAGATGTACATTTTTCCTTGCTTCCATTTGAATGAATTCTTTTCTTAATGATCATCTTCATATGAAGTAAAAAACCATCATCAGTCTTCATTCTGTTTGACACATGTAACAAGGTAACTCTGAGTAATAAAAAAATGATATCAGATATGGTGAGAATGGCCTAAATTTTGATTGGAGAAAACTTTTTTGGGTTGTAGTGGTTCTGCTTCATTTTGCTTGAATCAAGTAAATTCTAGTGCTTTAAAGTCACTTATAGTTTTAATATAGTTTGTTCTTTTAGGACAGACATGAGAATTTTTTTTTTTTTTTCCCTAGAGCTGGGGATCGAACCTAAACCTTTTACATGCTAGGCTCACATTCTACCACTGAGCTATATTCCCTGTCATGGGAATTTTTAACATCAGATACCATGTGTTAGAAAGATTAGATGGTCTTTATCATCTTTGTTATTTAATCCTCACCAATAAGTTTGCCTTTTGTAAAATAGGTCCATTTAATAATTATAGTTATATAGATCCATAGATGTGTTCTTAATTGTTAAGCTGCATCAGTTTTGTTGATCGCTTTTATCTTCAGCCACCTGTAGTACCTGGCAATGGCAGGTCTCATATTGATTCCAGGAACAGTGTTATATCTTCTTTCTTCAATGCTGCAGAAATTTCAGAGATTCAAGAAGCAAAAAATACATTCATAGTCCTGTTCTAAAAAAAAAATCACCAGGCGTGGTGGTGTACACCTGTAATCCAAGCACTTGGGAGGGTGAGGTGGGAGGCTGAGGCAGGAGGATCCCCCTGAGTTGGAGGCTAGTCTGGGCTATATATTGAGACCCTGTCTCAAAAAGCAAACAAAATCATGCTAAACTATTGATATTCTTCCAGCCAAGTCTATTTTTTCTTATGTAAAGTGGACCATTGACTTACGAACTCAATTTCTTTTCGAGGGCTGGTTGTAACTTAGGTTGGTCATGCTCTACACAGCCTTCAAAGTCTCCTGTATATAGGCAGATCTCAGTGTCCTTAGAGAGACATTTGCCCAGGATTTCTCAATTGACCCCTCACAGGAAAAGGTGTTGTAATGTTCCTTCTAGAACTCTTTAAGGGTTAAATCTGTATGTGAGATCATCTGGAAGCACAAGCAGCTGGGATTTGGGTCATAACTCAGGACTTTGGTCATAAGTTAAAACTAAAATTCTGGTCGTAATCCAAGTTGTTTGTGTGTCAGGCTGGTTGTAACTCAAGGAGTCACTGTAATTATTTTTACATGTCTAGAATTAGAATATGTCTACATTTTAATTGTAGGATAATAGGACTTCATTTGTTCTTTTATTGTGGTTGTGATTTAATTGGAATTTTTAAAAATTACACTAAAAAGCAAAGTTACTATTGTCTACATTTAAGGCTGAATACTATAACCTCTTAAACATTGTTCTTCTAAAAGTTTAGGCTGAATGACATTTCTGAAATGTCTTTCAGGGCCGGGGATGTAGCTCAGTGGTTCTGCTACCTGCCTCGCAAGTGCAAGGTCCCAAGTTCCATCCCTGGTACTAAAAAAAAAAAAATGTCTTTCACTCTGAAATGGAAATAGATTTTAGAAATAGCTGTATTAATTTTAAACTGTGAAAGAGCGTTGCTGCTTAATGCAATTTTTTGTGATAATATAATTCATAGTTTGTTGTGATAGCTCAATGAAACTAACAAGTTAGTTATTAATACAAATTTAAATATTCTAAAATCTTTTGGGATAATTTGGAAAAGGTGTTTGGTTATTAGTTTCTCTAAAGAGAAATATAATTCTCTGTTAAAATTGAATGTATTAAAGAGCATTAAAGCTACACAAAGAGAAACATTCTAAATTGTGTTTCTATTTATTTCAGGCCTGAACATAAAGTGAAGTTACTTTCATATTTAAAAGACTGTTAAGAACACAAGATGGGGACTCCTGGTTCTGGAAGGAAAAGAACACCTGTGAAAGATCGATTTTCTGCAGAAGATGAAGCTTTGAGTAACATTGCCAGAGAGGTGTGTGTGGTAAACTCTCTTTGAATATTTCATTTGTTCAGATGAGAGCATCATACAAATGCTGAGGTGACAGATAAAAATATTCACTGAACCAATTTCAGAATGTTTACTGTGAATAAGATGTTAGTCTAGCCTCTAAAATACCATGTTAGAATAAAAAAAATACTTGGATGTTCATTCATTTCATCTAAAAGTAATTTTTCATCATATTTTTGTGAGTTACTTGAATTCCATTATTATAATTTTCAGAATTTAAACTTGGGGTAGAGTGTTGGAGATATAATAACTATATTATAAAAATGGTCAGTGGGTTATGCAGTTGTTTTTCAAAACATTGCAGTGGAATTTTTTTTTTTTGAGATAGGGTCTCACTATATAGTTCAGGCTAGCTTTGAACTTGCAGTGATCCTCCTGCCTCAGCCTCCCAAGCACTAGGATTACAGGGATTAGCACTACCACGCCCGGCTGCAGTGGAATTTTTAATTTTTAACTCTTTTTTTTGGTACTGGGGATCAAACTTGGGACCTTGCATTTGCGAGGCAGGCGCCGGAACCACTGAGCTAAATCCTCGGCCCCTAATGTTTAACTCTTGATTAGTAACAGCTTTTGGGACTTTTTTTTCCCAGTTTGTTGGCAACTCAGAAAAATTTTTTTAAACAAGGGAAGTGATGTAATCCACCAAATCAGTAGCAACATTTCCTGTTATATATTGGATATTTGGGGTAACCTGCAGCTGGAATTTCTTTTTTTTTGGTACTGGGGTGGAATTTCTTAGTGAAGTGCCAACTTTGTTTCACATTCTAACTCTGTCTCGACTATAAACCAGTCTGGTAGAAGAATTTCTTAGACCATCATTAAATTATTTTATTTTAGTGAGAATTATTCCCTTATTCTTAATAAATAAGTCATTTAAGACTTAGCACCCTTTCGTTTTGACATATATCACAATCTTTTGATTCAGCTTGTTACATTTTTCCTCTTGAAAGCTAGTTTTTGAATTAGACATCAAATCTTATGTAGAAGGGTATTTGAAGCAAAATTATCTGAACACTAACAACAGAAGTGTAATAATGCTTTAAAAGATTATTTTAAAACGCAAATGAGATGTTTTTAGAGAAAAAGGTGTAAAAGATATTTTAAAATGCACAAATGAAGCATTTTGGAAGCCACATAGTTTAGATTGAAAATTGAAACTATCCAACTTGTTTGCTTCCAGAATTGGTGGAATTTATCCAGCTTTTTGTAAGGAAAGAAAGGGCCAGCATCTTCTGTGCTTTTTTTTGTACTATCATTAAGTATTTGAACATTTAAAAAAAAATGTGATGCTTCTTTTAAAAAATTGGGTAGTATTCTAACACTCAACTTTGTCAGGTGTTTACTATGTGGCAAAAAATATTTTAAGCATTTTACATGCATTAATTCATTTAACCCTTAGAAAATTCTGAGATTGGTTTTATTTTAGCTCTGTTTGACAGATGAGGAAACTACTGCATGGAAGTGAAGTAACTTCCTCAAGCTTAGGAACTAGGAAATACCAGAGTTTGGGTTCAGTCACATAAAGTGTGGTTGCAAAGTCTGTGCATTTAACCAACAACTATGCTACTCAATCAGTATTTTCTGACTCCCCATTAATAGCTTTTTAAAAAAATAATTTTCATGCCTTTGAAAGTATTTTCCTATCTTGAATCTCAGAAAAATCTTGAGCTAGCCAGGGTAGGTATTATTATTAGCCTTTTCTATAGATGAGGAAACAAATGAATTGGAGAGATAACTGTTGTAAAGGTATGAGAACCTAGGCTCCAATTCAGTCGCTTAAAGCCATTTTTAAAAATTCTGCTCTGCTGTACTGCTTCCAGGAGAGATGGGCTTTGGAGAGCTATAAGCATAGCTTTAAATTCTGCCTCTGTTAGTTGCTGGTTGAGTAATTTTGTTAATTTCTCTAGACTTCAGTTCCCTTATCTATTAAATAGGAATAATACTATCTTTCTGTCTCATGGGATGTTTTGATGACTAAATGAAATAATGCACATGAACCTTACTGTTAGGCTTGCAGTAGGATATTTTATTGCTTAAAAAGTAGAAATGGCTAGGCATGTCTATAATCCCAACTACTCAGGCAAGAGGATCACAAGTTTGAAGTCAGCCTGGACAACTTAGTAAGATAATATCTCAAAAGAAAAAAGGGCTGGGGAGGTAGCTCAGTGGTAGAGCTTATATGTGAGCTCCTGGTGTCAATTCCTAGCTCTTGGTGGTGGGAAAAAGATAGAAAGTTAGAAGACTGGTAGAGGGCTGGGGATTTAGCTCAGTAGTTCCGCCACTTGGTTTGCAAGGACCCGAGTTCAATCCCCAGCACCAAAAAAAAAAAAAAAAGACTGGTAGAAAGGGAAAACAGTCTGCTTTCATAAAAGAAAAATTTAAAGAAGAATGTTCTAAAACATGGTTGGTCATCACAATCTTCTAGGGCAATGATGGCGAACCTTGTAGAGCTTTCAGTGATAAGAAACAGCTGGCTGCAGTGCACATGCCATAGGTTTGCCATTGCCATTCTAGGAAGCTTTATCATTGTAAATTCCCAGACTTTATTACTTTACTTGCCAAATCTCCATCCTGGCTGAGCTTAGAAAAGTTTAAATTCTTTTCTGGTTCCACCTCTCCTTTCTTTCTCTTCCTCATTTTCTCTCCTTCTGGGGACTTCTGGTGGCCAGTCAGGTTTGAGAACCATAAATCAAAATATATAGGTGGTCCTATTGTGAGTGTTCCGTTTTTTATACTTACAGGTTATTTTCTTCCCTGTATGTAATTATTTTGCTATGAAATAACTAAGTTTAATTCAGTTATTATATTAAGTTATATATAATAAACTTTATTACCATAAAAGGAAGTCAAAAGCCAGTATTTCTAGTTTTTATTTCTATCTTCAGAGTCTGAATGTGCATATAACAACCTTTTTTGTTTAATTTTGGTAGTACTGGCAATTGAACCAGAGGGCTCTGCCACTGAGCTTCATCCCCACCTTGTATCTGTTAACTTTAATAACAAAGTCCAGAAGGCACTGCTTTCATCTGATACATGAAAGTGCTAATTTTTGTTAAGATCTGAGACTTTGTTTGATGAGTCCCTGATATGTGACACAGTAGTTTTAGAACAACAGAGGAAATATGTTTAGTAGTTTTATTATTTCATATGTCTTTGTAATTTTTGTCTTTATAGCTATTTGCATATTATCCACTCATGTACTGGAAGATTGGCATTGATAGTCCCTAATCTTATTTTCTCCAGGGGGATCAAAAATATTACTTTACATTAGAAACAAAAACAAACTCCCTTTAACAACAAAAATGACAGTTTAATCTTTTTTTGTTTTTTCTTCAGTTAAATTTGAAGCATTTCCTCACTTGTGTTTTGAAGTGGACAGGGAGGGAACACCATAAATAAAAAGAGCATCTTTTGCTTCTCGGTTATATATTTAGGTTTTCATGCATGCTACTTGGTGAAAAAGGAAACCAAAGAGAATGAGGTCTCTTTTTTTTGGTACCGGAGATCAAACTCAGGACCTTGAACTTGCAAGTCAGGTGCTGGAACCACTGAGCTAAATCCCCGGCCCTAGAGAGAATGAGAATGGAAAGAAACAAAGGACATAAATTCCACAAATTGAGTAATTTGCATGCTAAAAATATGGAACTGAGTGCACTTAAAAATACACTCAAATACACATAAAATTTGTCCATCTAACAACTAGTGTACTATGGCATTAAGTATATTTACATTGTTGTGCAACCATCACCACCATCCATCTCCTAAAGTCTTTTCATCTTTCAAAACCCAAGTGCATTTTTAAAAGATGTTGAAATGATTGAAGAATGCTCTGTAAAGGCAAAGAATGTGGATGGATTTAGAAAGCCTGTGTGTTTGTAATAGACACGTGGCTGTTTTGCTAGGGGAGCTCAGGCATTTACAGCTTTTGGAAGAGCTCAGAGAATCAAGTGTCAGGAGTCATCAGCAAGTCCATTAGGGTGCCAGAAGACCAGTTTGAAGGCCTATTGACTTTCAGTGAAAATTATCTGAAAGCACATACCTAATACATCAAAGTGGGAACCTTTAGGCATCTAGCCTCCCTCTCAAAAGGAGAAAAATGAGCATGGAATGAAAACTAGTTATGTTGCCTTAGCATAGTCAGTTTGGTGTATATTATTTGTAGCAGCTATTCCTCTGAGAAGAAATTAAAGCCTCTTGAAGATTGTGCAGTCTTTTTAAGGCACAACCGAAACCTAGAATGTTACTACCGTCCTTGTTTAGAGCTGTAATTCTGAAGAAAACATGATTTATGCACATTTCTTCAAAAAGAAATCATCAGAATGTTCCTTATTTTTGACCTGAAATTCCTTTTAGCTTTAAAATTCTGTGGTTTCTTTCAGTATCCATCAGCCCTCCAAAAAAATTGATGTTCATATGCACAGATGTATTAAATTTAAAGAGTGATTATCAGACATAGAAACTGATGATCTTCTATAGGAATTGGAGTCTAGTAGATAAAGTGTCCAGAGATGTTTATGTTAAGCAGAATCTACATGTAAGCATATTTGGTGTGTAAACCTACTTATCTTTTTTTTTTTTTGGTATTGGGGATCAAACTCAGGACCTTGTGCTTGCCAGGCTGGCAGCGGAGCCGCTGAGCTAAATCCCCAACTCACCTACTGTAATCTTGTAAGCATGAGAATGCTTCATAACTATTTAGCCTTTGAGCCTATTGGAATGTTTGGATTTCCTTTTTTTAAGTGTAGAATTCAGTGACATTAATTACATTCACAATGTGTGCAACCCTTATCACAATTGATTTCTAAAACTTTTTCAAGGGGCCGGGGATTTAGCTTGGTGATTCCGCTGCCTGCCTCGCAAGCGCAGGGTCCTGAGTTTGATCCCTGGTACCAAAAAAACCAAAACAAAACAAAACAAAATAAAAACTTTTTCATCACTTCAGACAGAAACTATAGCCATTAAGC